TTAATATTAATATTAATTAAAAAATAAAAAATTGTATATTTCTGAAGAAAAAGAAAAAAATCAATATTAATTGAAAAATAAATATTAATTGGTATTAATTATTAATAAATTCATATTGTATATTTTTATATTAATTAAAAAATAAAAAATTGTAGGGCAAATTACATATACACCCCCTCGAGGTTTAGCAAAATTACAGATACCCCCCTGAGATTTGAGAAATTACAGATACCCCCTGAAGCTACTATTTGCATAACAAATTAGGGGGCAAATTGTTATGAAAATATAAACCTCGGGGGACAATTTGTTATGAAAATATAAACCTCAGGGGGTATTTGTAATTTCTGAAACCTCATGGGGGTATCTGTAATTTAGCTAAATCTCGAGGGAGGTATATGTAATTTGCCCAAAATTGTATATTTCTGAAGAAAAAGAAAAAAATAAATATTAATTAAAAAAAATCAATATTAATTGGTATTAATTATTATTAAATTAATATTGTATACTTTTGTAATGAATTAATTATTAATTGATACTAATTAATAACAATTGTTGATTATGAATATTAATTGATACTAATAAAAATTAAATATTAATATTAATTTATACTAATTTATAATTTTAATATTAATTGAGACTAATTAAGCCATTAATTGATACTAATTAAGCAATTAATTGATACTAATTAATTTATAATGGAAAATAATTGTGACAATAATACTTCCATTACATTTTTAGCAAATATATCAATTTTTATATTAATTGACACTAATTAATACTAATTATATTAACTTTTATTAATGAATTTTTTTTAAAAAAAATAAAAACTGAAAAAAATGACAAAATAATCATTTTTATATCATATAAGGGAAGAAAGGACAATTATACAGTAAAAAACTATTTCACAGCTTATTAACTAAACACTACTCTGCTGCTTAAATCTATAATCCCACAGCTGCATCAAATAGGTAACAGCTTAGGCTCACAGTTATAAGTCATAATCTGTTAAACTATAATCACTTTTTCACAGCTCTACCAAACGGGACTATTATTGTGTTTAGAGGCATTTGGTAATCCAAGGATTACTGGCCAGTTATGATACTAAACCTATAGGGACGGGTTTGGTTTGTGACAATTATCAAGTTGATTGACTATCAGTGGAAAGGACACCTTAATACTCTGCAATAAGAAAATACCTTGAGCATACTTTATCAGGAGTGAAAATGAAAGCACACTAATAGAAATGCTAAGAGGAGAAAAATGAAAACTTGAATTTCTACAGCATCAGAAATACAAGAAATACCTGAGATTGAAAGGTAAATGTAAAAGAATATAATTGCTACTATATATATATATATATATATTATAGCACCAAGTAAAGCAATTTTGTTAGTGACATTTTAAAACAAAGACCCTTGTGTTTTAAATTACAATTACTTCTTCAAGTTACACACTCTTCAAAAATTGAATTTTATTCCTGACTAATAATAATAATAATAATCCCAATAGAGAGGGGGGTAAGATGTAACTAGCCTTAACCCCATTTATGGAAATGTTGTTTTTGTAACATGTAGGTATATAGATATAGAGAGATTGAGATATAGAGAAAAAGGGTTCTTACTTCTAACCAGCGAGAGAGAAATCAGAGATAGTGATGATAATGATGATATGGCCACAACATTGGTGATCAAAGAAAGAGCCAGCTCCTAAACCCCCCAAAGCAGGACACACAACTACAGGGACTCCAAATTTTTCCTTGATAAACACAAATGTCTCACTAGACCCAAATTTTTCCTCCAACAAAAATAAAGAGAACTGCAAAATTAGCTAGACGATCTACCAATGCAACTCCAAATTTATTGCAATTTGAGGAAATTAAACCAAAAACAAGCTAAATAGGAAATTAAACTAAATAAATCATATAAACCCTAGAGTATAAGTAAGAAATGGGGAAATAGAGGAAGGGAATGGAGATGGAGATTAGTGATGAAGACAGAGAGAGAGAGAGAGAGAGAGAAAACTTGTTTTTATTGCGGCGGTGGCGGTGGCACTGTGCAACTTACGGTGAGCAATGATGGTGAGCAACTGCAGTGAGGTGAGGTTTGGTGGTGACTGGTTGTGTGTGTGTGTGTGAGAGAGAGAGAGTGTGTGTGTGTGTGTGTGAGAGAGAGAGAGAGAGAGAGAGAGAGAAGAAGAAGAAGAAGAATCCCTATTTTCGAAAATATTGAGAAGAATTGGGCTCCAATCTTTTAATTTTCCCCGCTAAAATTTTATATACCTTTGGCGACTAAACTTGTTGTTTGTCGCCAAAGGTTAATTTATAACGACTAATTTATTTAGTAGCCAAACATTTAACTAATAGCGACTAAGTGTGTGTGTGTGTGAGAGAGAGAGAGAGAGAGAGAGAGAGAAGAAGAAGAAGAAGAATCCCTATTTTCGAAAATATTGAGAAGAATTGGGCTCCAATCTTTTAATTTTCCCCGCTAAAATTTTATATACCTTTGGCGACTAAACTTGTTGTTTGTCACCAAAGGTTAATTTATAACGACTAATTTATTTAGTAGCCAAACATTTAACTAATAGCAACTAATATTTTAGTCGCCAAAAAAATCATTTTGGCGACTAAAGGTATTTTGGTCACCGAAAATAAATATTCACCGATCAAATTTTTGGTCACCAAAGATAAAAGTAAAATTTATACTTTTTACCTAGTGACTAAATTATTTTTGTAGGCAAAAATTACCTTACAGCGACCAAAAAAATTTTTGTCACCAAAAATGAATATCTACTGACCAAAACTTTGGTCGCCAAAGTTTAATAGCAAACATTATGCTAGCTTTTTGGCGACTAAATTTATTTTAGTAGCCAAAAACTGGTATACCACGACTAACAAAAACTTTAGTAGCCTAAAACGTGATCTAATGCTGACTACAACAATTATTAGTCGCCTATTGTGGCATATTTAGCGACTAATTGCTTTTTAGTCGCCAATAATTAAGATGCAACTACTAATAAAAAAAATTAATAGCTAAAAACCATATTCAACGGCAACCAATGTAATTTTTAGTCGCCTATTCTACAACTTTTGGCGACTAAAAAAAGTTTAGTTGCCAAATTTGGTTGCCAAAAGTGTAAATGTTCTAGTGAATTTTTGCTATGTTCATTTTTTTTTTTCCCTTCTTGTTTTCAATTATCTCATTAGAAGGAAAGCCCAATATGCATTAAAAAAAAGAAAAGAAAGAAAATTCAGCCATAATCCATCTCAAGGAATAGTGAATTTTTTTGAACAATTACTCTCATTGATTTTAGAAAGGTGGATTTAACATATTTTTTAAAACTTAGATTTACAGTTATACTCTTATTTCCATTATATTTCTTTTTCTTTTTTCTTTTGTGCTGAAAAGGTAAGATACATAATCTATGTGAATTAAATTTGGAGTGAATTTTGGTATAAGAATCTTTTTGATTTGAAATGACTTAAAATATGAGATTCTTCAAACATTCTAAAAAGAATACAAAAACTCCTTAGGAAGTTTTGGATAAATATATAATTTCAAACTCTAAAGTTTTGATTAGCTTGAAATGTGGGATTCTTTAAACATTCTAAAAGGAGTACAAATATCTTTTAGTAAGTTTTGGACAAATGTATAATTTTAAACTATGTGATTTTTATTTGGAATGGATTGAAATGTGAGATTTTCCAAACATTTCATTCCTTTGTAAACTTTGGGCACATCTGTAATTTTAAACTGTGAGGTTTGATTTGGAATAGATTGAAATGTTAGATTTTCCAAACATTTTAAAAGGAGTACAAAAATCTCTCAGTAAACTTTGGGCAGACATATAATTTCAAACTGTGGAGATTTCGGTTATTTATGAGTATTAACTAGCATCCACAAGTGTAAATTGTAGGGTTATATTGTCATTTCTACACAAATAAGATTGTTGAGTTTATAAGATTATTTAAAGGACTTATTAGTTACTAAGCTATAGAAATGAGATTTATAGGTACTTTCTCCTATAAAAAAAAGACTATAATACATTAGGGCTTAAGTGAATTGGGCAATTTTAGAAATTGACTTACTTGCAAATTAAATATATTTAGATGCCATTGGTTGTAAATTGTGACTCAAAAATCTATAAATTAACAACAAAATTGAAATATGAGATTCAAAATATATTCTATACATTTGTACGGACATCTTTGTAATTCATTGGTATTTATAAATTTGTAATTATTTATTTGAAAATAAAATAATTCAAATTGCTCAACCCAACCCTTTGATTTAAATTAATTTACAATTTTCCACAATCAAAATAACTCAATTTGAGAGGCAAAATTTTTTTTTTGGCCAAAATGACAACTAAGATGAACCAAAATCTTTGAGCTTGATTTGTATTCCACTCATTGAAATCTCATTTGAAATCCGCTCGTTAAGTAAATATATTTTGGGCAAATTACATATACACCCCTCGAGGTTTGGCTAAATTACAAATACCCCACTGAGGTTTGAGAAATTACAAATTCCCCCCTGAATGCTATATTTACATAAGAAATTAGGGGGTAATTTGTTATGAAATATAAACCTCAGGGGGTAAATTGTTATGAAAATACAAACCTCAGGGGACGGGATGTAATTTCCGAAACTTCAGGGGTATCTGTAATTTAACCAAACCTCGAGGGGTGTATATGTAATTTGCCCATATATTTTCAATCAAGAAAAGTTTTAATAACTTACTAATCTGTTGGATAAATTATATACGCCAAAAAAAAAAAAATACACACTACATAAAGTCGGCTAGACAAACTTTATTAAAATTCGTTTGAGATTTCTAAAATTCAAATCAAACTAATTTGACACGGCTCATTTGAGCCCAAATGCCAGTTTGCCAAGTTGGCTAACAAAGAAAGGGCGGCCTTGAAAACGAGGCCCAGCCCACCAAACAGACCACAACGACTTCCAAGGTTATATTCGTCAATTCAGCCAAATCGAAAGTTTTCGCGGTAACCCTCTCTCTCTCTCTCTCTCTCTCTCCACTATCACAATTACAATCAAAAGCCCTAGTTCTATGTTTCTTGATGAATCTCTTCATTCTTGAAAGTTGAAACGAATCAGAGAAGTTCAATTTAATCGTCGGAACACAAAGAATTCAAGGAAAGTACAGATATATAAATATATATGCATATATAGAGAGAGAAAGTGAGGTTTTTAGAGACGGAAAGAGAGAGAGGACTCACATGGAGAAGGAAACGCATCTTCTGGAGATCAACTTGATCTCCGCTCAAGGTCTGAAGACGCCATCCGCGAATCTCCGTCGATTGAAGACCTACGCAATCGCCTGGGTCGACTCGTCCGCCAAACTCAGAACCCCTGTTGATCGACTCGGCGGCGATAACCCTACCTGGAACGAGAAATTCCTCTTCCGAGTCTCCTCCGAGTTTCTCTCCAGCGAGACCTCCGCTGTCTCCGTCGAGATCTACGCCGTCGGCTACATCAAGGATCCTCTCGTCGGCACCGTCCGATTCCTCCTCAGTAGCTGCATCTCCGCCGCTTCAGTCGGAACTCCGGCCTTCACCGCCGTCCAGATCCGCCGCCCCTCCGGCCGATTCCACGGCGTTCTCAACATCGCCGCCACAGTTCTCGACGGCTTAGATCTCACTGCCGCGACTGGTTTGTCGGCGATCTGTTTTCGCGATCTGATGGGGGAGAGTCGGCGTCGGCATTATCATAACCGGAGAGGATCGGACAGGAGCGAGCAATCGTCCGGTTGCGAATCGTGTGGAGAGTCGGTGGATTTGTCGGACGGTGCGGATTCGACCACCTCGTCGTCATCAGCCGCATCAACGGCGCTGAAGGAGTGGAACTGTGAGAGAAAGAACGAGTCGGAATCGGACGGTGGAGGATTGCTGTGTGGTTTGATGCTACAGAGGAAGTTTCATCTGAGTCCGTCGGATCAAAACTTCAGGGTTTTTGCATCGATGAGGGAGAAGGAGAATCGATCGTGTTTGACTAAGCGAGCTGATTAACGGTTGAGATCAGAATTTAGAAGGATTGATGGACGATGGAGATCATCCGGATTGAATGTATTCATGCACAATTAGCATGCTGTGTCTCTGCTTCAGGAATTTTGAAAATCGGTTAGCCGTTATATGTCTCCATTTTGTATTTCAAACTTGAAACGGCAATATTACAATATTACGTAACCCAATTTTTACTCTACAGTTCTAGGAAGATCCAGTGTATAGCTACATTTTAGCTTTGTGAACTGAACTGGGCTCACTGGAAATATCTCAATTAATAGAAATTTCACTCAAAACTTATATATGTATTCTACTTTCACTTGTTGAATTAGAAAATAAATAAATAAATAAAGAAATGAAATGTAACTGGATTAGACTGGGTTAAAATTATTTATCCCAAGTCATCTCTTTTTTCATTTTTTTATTTTATATTTTTGCTGACTCTTTTTTTTTTTAAATTATGTCTATTTTTATTTTTATTTATTTATTTTTGTCTATCTTGTGTATATGAATTTAAAAAAAAAAAATCCAAAAAAAATTAAAAACCCAAAATGAAAATTTTTTTGATACTATTTTTATCTTCTTTTTAAAACTTTTTTCTAGAAATTTTTAAATATTTCGGTTCATCTAAGCTAAGTTTTTTTTGGAAAAAATAAATAAATAATCAATAAATCCAAGGTTTGGGTGGGTTTGGGGTTAAAATAGTCATAAAAAATAAAATAAATTTTTTAGTTTCAATAAAATAAAATATCATATCTAATTCATAATTATTACATTTTTTATCTCATAAAAAAATTAAAAAAAATCAAAAAAACTTTTCCAAACTAAATTTTTTTACTCTATATTAAAATGATCAAAAAAAATAAAAAAATCAATCCATTTTCCAAACCAAGTCTTACTCATGTGGTCTAGCTCTGATTTACGAGTTAAATGATTTTTCCACGCTCTAAAGGTATCGGGTTGGGCTGAATGGATTAGGTGGGTCATCGGGTTCATAACCACCCATCTACTGATTGAATTTTGGAAACGGTCTCGAAAAAGTCTGGTCCAGCATATTTTAGGTCCTATCGTTTTGGGTTTGGTTTTAACTAGGCCTTTAGGATGTGTTTGTTTTGAAAGATTAGGATATAGGATTAGACTATTAGGAGTTGTTTGGGATGATTTAAATAAGTGTATTTTTTATTTTTTTATGAAAAGATGTGCAAAAAGGAAGAGAGGTGATGTGATGAAAAAAAGATAGATTATTTAGCCTTCGTTTGGAAAGTGGGTTAGCTTTTTGGCTTTTTTAGCCTGGGCTATTTTAGCCTGGTTTGGGAAGGACTTTTTGGCTTTTTAGACTTTTTTTGTAAGAGATGATTGTAATGATTATGGGTTGGATTTGATGTTTTATTTTTTGTGGCTAAAATAGTCTATTTTGTTTTTTATGGCTATTTTAGCCAAAAAAGCCTAGCTTTTTTCTTCCCAAACAGAGCCTTATGAGTTGCCAAACTTGGCCTAGTCACATCAAATTAATAATTTATTGTTTGTTTTATTTTTTTTGCTTCGGATTAATAGTATTAGTCCCACAAATATGGGACTATCCTATCCCACGGGGGATAGAAACCATGGGATTGATATCTCATGAGATTATTTTGTGAAATGTCTATTTTACCCTCCATGCTATTACTTAGTAAACAATTAGAAAAAGGGTAAAATAGTCTTTTGAACATTTATAAATTATTTTTTTAGTGTTGTTGTAAATTTAAAATTATATATTAAATAAAAAATTAAAATTATAAATTATAAATTAAATTTAATTAAAAATAATAAATTAAAAATTATGACCTTATAAATTAAATTTTTTTAGTGCTGTTAAAAAATTTAATTTACATATTAAATAAAATTATTTTTTAGTGTTGTTAATTTAAAATTATATATTAAATAAAAAATATAAATTATAAATTTAATTTAATTAAAAATTATAAATTACAAGGGTAAAATAGTGTTTTGAGCATTTATCCTTATTCAGTTCGTCTAACCAAACATTGGATTCACTAAAAATAGTCTAATCTAGACATATAATCCCATGACTAAACAAACAAAGGATACAAATCCAGTCCAACAAAATAGTCCGAGGACAATGTATCCTGAGACTAAAAGTCCGATGAATTACAATCCCCCCTTATTCAGCCCGTCCAAACAAACACACCTTAGTGTTGTTGATATGTAACATTTTTATAGTAGTTATGAGCCCTTAACATTTTTACAAGGAAATTTTTTTATAATGAGTTGAAATTTCTCTAATAATATTATTGAGTGACCTTAATTAATAAGAAAAAATAAGTTAACAAAAATGCTAAATATTTCAAAAATTCTAACATGTGTCTCACATGAGTGTGAGATTCACGTAGGACCTATATTGTGTGAGCCCCATAACCAAGTGAGACATTTGGTAAAAATTTTGATAGAATTTTTAGAATCTCTAACATTACTCATAAATTAAACCTCTTTTACTACCCTAAAGTTTGAGAAGGATTTTTCATTAATTTTCTTTTTTTAAATTTTGCTCGACGAAACAAATTGAAAAATTAAAAGATTTTAAGAAAAAAAAAATCTAGAAAAGACAAAAACAAGTCAAAATAGTGGACTTTTTGTTTATTTTGACTTTTTATTTTTTTTATAAAAAATTTAATTTTTTTTACTTTTTATATTTATCTACAGAAGACGGACTGAAAGTAAAAAATTTGACGCAATTTAAGAAAAAATTACAAAATGTAAAAAATTTGACACAATTTAAGAAAAAAGTCACTAAAGAAAAAAAAAAAAATTCAAAAAAAAAGAAGTGGCTTCGCTACCCCAAATACCTCAAATGATTTACAAATTTGTCTTTTTTAAACGAAAAATTTATCACTCTGTTTTCAATTTTTAGAATTTACTTTTTAGAAAATTTTACTTTTTTGTTTTCTTTATTTTTTTGTTTTCACTAATTTTTTTAATATTTTAAGCAATTATTTTTATTTTTAGACACACTTAACATAAATACACTTAGAAAGTATAATATTTGTAAAACAAAATCTTTACAAAATTCACTAAATACTAAAAATACAAAAAATAAAAATAAAAATTAAGTATATTTTTCATATTTTTGTTTATTTATTAACTTTTTAAAATATTTTTTCACATATAATTTACTATTTAGATACATCTAAGTAAAGTACATCTAAATAAGTAAAAAAAAATTGCTTAAAATTTAGAAAATATTCACTAAAAACAAAAAAATACAAAAATAAAAAATTCAATTTTCAGAAACCTAAAGCCAAAAACTGTATAGTTTTCACCATTGTCCACATAATAATGGAATAATGTCACATTTATTATATATTTTTCAATAAAACTACATATACTAAAATTTTAAATTCATTTTTTTAAATCTTATTTTATGGGTAAATTACAATACTTTTTTTTTGAATTTTAAGGAAAATATAATAAGTTTAACAAATTTGACATAATTACATTAGACTTTTTTAAAATTTTAATTTTTATACCACTCAATCCAATTTTTATTAGTAATTAATTGGTCAAATGAATAGAATATTAATATTGTTATATCTTATACACTAACGCGTATACCTTATTTCATTTATGTATATATTTTCACATTATTATAATTATGTCTAAATTATAAAATTCATTAGAATTTTTTTTAAAAAAAAATTTAGAAGAATTCAATATAATTTACTTTAATTATCGTATAATGTGACAAATTCACATATTGACCAATAACAAAAAGACCCATCCTATTAATCATTACAAATGTCATATCAATATATAAATGATTAAAAGAAATGTGACCTTATATTTTGTGTCATTAATATGAGTTTTTGAGACTTCTTATTATTTTGAATAATACTATATACATTAATTAATGTATTAATTAATGTATCAATTGATAATATGACATAATTTAAGAGATTTTTTATATTTTTAATTTGTATAATGAGTGGAATCAATAATAATATCATAACTAATATACCAACACTAATTAGCCTCTGTTTGCGAAGGAATTATCGTATAATGTGACAAATTCACATATTGACCAATAACAAAAAGACCCATCCTATTAATCATTATAAATGTCATATCAATATATAAATGATTAAAAGAAATGTGACCTTATATTTTGTGTCATTAATATGAGTTTTTGAGACTTCTTATTATTTTGAATAATACTATATACACTAATTAATGTATTAATTAATGTATCAATTGATAATATGATATAATTTAAGAGATTTTTTATATTTCTAATTTGTATAATGAGTGGAGTCAATAATAATGTCATAACTATTATACTAACACTAATTAATACACTAATTGGTATATGTAATACCACCGTATTATTTTTATCTCACTTTTGTTTTGGTTAACACCTTTTATAATTATTCTTTGTTCCACTCTCAAGTTCAATTAAGGAGGTGATAAGCTACTTCCTTGAGTTGTTTGGGGATGTAGATTAAAAGCTTATAATTATTCTATGCCCCACTCTCAAGTTCAATTGAGGAGGTGATAAGCTACTTCCTTGAGTTGTTTGGGGATGCAGATTCAAAAGCTAATTTTTTAAATTTTTTTTTAAATTTTTTTAAAAAAAATATATATAAAAAATAGAAAGATAATTATATGATTCAAAAGAGATTAAAAGCCAAAAATGACTTTCTATTTATAACCCATTGATGCTCGTCTCCTATTAAATAGAGTGCAAAGGTTTCAACACGTTAAGAAACCATTCATGATACTAGATAGGCGTGATGACGAGCGGACAGTTGCGGATTGATTTTTTTAATCCGTCAATTTGGCAGATGGATGGCGAATTTGAGGTTCCTTTGGCCACAACCGAACCGCCAAACCGCGAGTACCCTTAGTAATTTATAAGATTTTGTGTTTTCAATTTGTTTAAATATTTTGTTTGTGTTTTCAATTGAAAAAGAGTTCAAATATTCTGTTGAAAAAAAATTTGCAACTTGAATATATTTTTTGAATTGAAAAAAATAAACGTATTATTTATTTATATTTTTTGGTTTTTAAATCTAACTCTAAAAGTAATAAATGGAAAATATGAAATATGCTAGTTGGTTTTAGTTTTCAAAACATATATAAATGTAACAATACAAAGACATACAATCTCAACTATTGCTCTGTTCAT